TAAAACACACCTGGGATACACCTGGAAGAGAAAAAACACACCTGAGATACACCTGGAAGAGAAAAAACACACCTGAGATACACCTGGATGGGAAAAAACACACCTGAGATACACCTGGATGGGAAAAAACACACCTGAGATACACCTGGATGGGAAAAAACACACCTGAGATACACCTGGGATACACCTGGGGGGGTTAAAACACACCTGAGATAGACCTGGATGGGAAAAACCACACCTGGGATACACCTAGGGGGCTTAAAACATACCTGAGATACACCTGGAGGGGAAAAAACACACCTGGGGGGGTTAAAACACACCTGGGACAAACCTGGGGGGGTTAAAACACACCTGGGATACACCTGGGTGTACCTGGGATGCACCTGAGGGTCATTGGAACACACCTGGATGCACCTGGGCACACCTGGGATACACCTGGGTGGGAAAAAACACACCTGAGATACACCTGGGTGTACCTGGGATGCACCTGCAGGACTCAGTTTACCTGCTGGCAGTCAAGGCACACCTGAGGCACACCTGGGGGTTATCAGGATGTACCTGGGGGTTATTTAGGGACTCACCTGTGCTTACCTGAGCACACCTGAGCTTATCTGCAGGACTCAGTTTACCTGGGGACACACCTGAGGGTTACCTGAGCACACCTGAGGGTTATTTAGGGACTCGCCTGAGCTCACCTGGACACACCTGAGGTCTCACCTGGAGGACTCAGTTTACCTGGGGACACACCTGGGGGTTATCAGGATGTACCTGGGGGTTACACAGGACACACCTGGGCACACCTGAGCACACCTGGACACACCTGGGGGTTACCTGTGCACACCTGGACACACCTGAGCACACCTGGACACACCTGAGGACACACCTGTCCTCACCTGGGTGTTACCTGTTTTTCCCAGGATTCCGTGCGCCTGCTGGCGGTGGAGGCGTGTGTCAGCATCGCGCAGCTGAGGGTTACACAGGACACACCTGAGGGTTACACAGGACACACCTGGACACACCTGAGGGTTACACAGGACACACCTGGACACACCTGAGGGTTACCTGAGCACACCTGAGGTCTCACCTGTCCTTACCTGTTTTTCCCAGGATTCCGTGCGCCTCCTGGCGGTGGAGGCGTGCGTGAGCATCGCGCAGCTGAGGGTTACACAGGACACACCTGGACACACCTGTGCACACCTGGGGGTTACACAGGACACACCTGAGGGTTACACAGGACACACCTGGACACACCTGAGGGTTACCTGAGCACACCTGAGGGTTACACAGGACACACCTGAGGGTTACCTGTGCACACCTGGACACACCTGAGGGTTACCTGTGCACACCTGTTCTCACCTGTTTTCATTTCCCAGGATTCCGTGCGCCTCCTGGCGGTGGAGGCGTGTGTCAGCATCGCGCAGCTGAGGGTTACACAGGACACACCTGAGGGTTACACAGGACACACCTGAGCACACCTGTGCACACCTGAGGGTTACCTGTGCACACCTGTTCTCACCTGTCCTCACCTGTTCTCACCTGTTTTCATTTCCCAGCATTCCGTGCGCCTCCTGGCAGTGGAGGCGTGTGTGAGCATCGCGCAGCTGAGGGTTACACAGGACACACCTGAGGGTTACACAGGACACACCTGGACACACCTGTGCACACCTGAGGTCTCACCTGGGTGTTACCTGTTTTTCCCAGGATTCCGTGCGGCTCCTGGCGGTGGAGGCGTGTGTCAGCATCGCGCAGCTGCTGCCGCAGGAGGAGCTCGAGGGGTTGGTGATGCCCACCCTGCGCCAGGCGGCCGAGGACAAATCCTGGAGGGTGCGGTACATGGTGGCTGATAAATTCACCGAGGTGAGGACACCAAAAATACACCTGGGGACACACCTGAGATACCTGGGGACACTGAAAATATACCTGGGGACACCTGGGGACAAATCCTGGAGAGTGCGCTACATGGTGGCTGATAAATTCACCGAGGTGAGGACACCAAAAATATACCTGGGGACACACCTGAGATACCTGGGGACACCTGGGACACACCTGGGGACAGGAAAAATACACCTGGGGACACACCTGGGGACACCTGGGGACAAATCCTGGAGGGTGCGCTACATGGTGGCCGACAAATTCACCGAGGTGAGGACACCACAAATATACCTGAGAACACCTGGGGACACACCTGGGGACAGGAAAAATACACCTGGGGACACCTGGGACACACCTGGGGACAGCTGGAGACAGGGAAAACACACCTGGGGACACCTGAGATACCTGGGGACACCTGGGGACAAATCCTGGAGGGTGCGCTTCAGGGTGGCCGACAAATTCACCGAGGTGAGGACACCAAAAATACAGCTGGGAACAGGAAAAGCACACCTGGGGACACTGAAAATACACCTGGGGACACCTAAAACACACCTGGGGACAGCTGGGACACACCTGGGGACACTGAAAACACACCTGGGGACAAATCCTGGAGGGTGCGGTACAGGGTGGCCGACAAATTCACCGAGGTGAGGACACCAAAAACATACCTGGGGACACACCTGGGGACACCTGGGGACATTGAAAATACACCTGGGGACAGCTGGAACACACCTGGGGACAGCTGGGGACAAATCCTGGAGGGTGCAGTACATGGTGGCCGACAAATTCACCGAGGTGAGGACAAAAATATACCTGGGGACAGGAAAAACACACCTGGGGACACCGAAAATACACCTGGGGACACCTAAAACACACCTGGGGACAGGAAAAACACACCTGGGGACACTGAAAATACACCTGGGGACACCTAAAACACACCTGGGGACAGGAAAAACACACCTGGGGACACTGAAAATACACCTGGGGACAGGAAAAACACACCTGGGGACAAATCCTGGAGGGTGCGCTACATGGTGGCCGATAAATTCACCGAGGTGAGGGCAAAAACACACCTGGGGACACACCTGGGGACAGGAAAAACACACCTGGGGACACTCAGGTGACCCCAGGTGACCCCAGGTGAGCCCAGGTGACCCCGCTGTCCCCTCCCCCGCAGCTGCAGCGCCCTGTGGGTCACTCTGGGTCATTTTTTGTCATTTTTTGTCATTTTTTTGTCGGTTTTGGGTCCATTTTGGTTTTTTTTGGGTTACCTGGGCACGCTCAGGTGACCCCAGGTGACCCCGCTGTCCCCTCCCCCGCAGCTCCAGCGCACTCTGGGTCATTTTTTGTCATTTTTTGTCATTT